TCACCTTCGTATTTCTATGCGTAAACAATGAGCCAAAATTTTAGATGTTAGTGTCTTATTAATGTAAGTTTTACAAATTTAACAGAATTGTGCTTTTATATGAATTACTCGTATATTCTACTAATAAGTAAAATGTTTGTATATTTAGAAAGAATATGATGAAACACTGGAAAATTTGAAAGGATATAATGCTGAAAAATTACATTTTTAGCCTATAATATGACTAAAAAACTAATTTTTGTTAGTATTAGTAATTTTCTAGTATCTATTAAATCCCAATAAAACCGTTTCTGCATAAAAATAAAGTTTTTATTACATTATTATCAGATTTTTTTTATAAAATAAACTATTGAATAAATATCGCATCGTGTCTCGGTCTCGTTCTTGGCCGAGAATTTTTTTTTCTCTCGATCTCGGCCGAGAATAAAAATCCAGGTTCGGTCGGACCTTAGTAGCGTACATACGAGAACTTTTTAAATCTTCTCTATGCACCTAATGATCTAATGGACTATTCGAGAACTGTTTAGCTGTGGGTATATAACCCGAGGCAAAGGAGAGATAGAAACAATCGGTCGACGTGTACAGGGTGGGTCAAATTCGACGTTTTTAAATGGAAACACCCTTTTCTATAGGAGATAGACAAAAGCTAATATCGGTGTCTGGAGCTCAATTTTTGTCAAAAACATGATGGTGAAAACCGCATATCGATATCTGTTACCGTTTCGGAGTTACGGGGTGTTTTTCAAAAATATGCATTTTTAACCAATCGCTGTAACTTTTTTGCTATGGAAAATTTTGTATTTTTATGAAAACATTTCCAAAGCACCTTTTTACGTAGAATTTAATGGTTTCAGTATAATGGTTTTTAAATTAATAATTTAAGAATTATCAACAGAAAATTTATTTTTTTATATGGGACACCCTGTATATTTTTAATTTATTGAAAAGAATTTAAAATTACCTTTCCAAAAATATAACACACGTGATAATTTGCTCGATTCCTCTTCGAAATATAGAGTATATAAAAATTCGCCCGCTTTAAATAATTAGGCTTTGCACCGGCTGTAATGCAAAAAATTCTAGCTGTGAGCATCAATTAAAACGAAAATAATATTTGCTATGAGAGATGCAGAATTTTATAAAAATTTAAAATATATTTAACCCACATCAACACATTTAAATTATATCTAATAACAATAAAAATAAATAGCAAACCAGGACATGAGATTTTGCTACAGGTGTTCGACATATCGACCGTTTTCTGTTATGGACAGACGGGGCAGTTTTTGAACATTTCTCACGGAATTCATTAACTCAGTGGGGGTGAAAGATACCCTTTCATAACTGGTAAGTATTTCTAATTCTTGTCTAGATTATACGGAAGAATAATGAACCTTTATTCTTCCGCAAATATATCCATAGGATTAGATCCATGGGCACTATGTCAGGCGGGATCGACGGCCAACGGCTGGGATCTTGGTTAGCTATTCAATTATTCTTGAAATTGGCTGCAAAAATTTGCTGATAACTTCAGTGTTCAGAGACGGTGCGTCGTCTTGCTGGAAAAATATGTTTTCGAGTTCCATTAAGGGCATATCATTAATAAGGAGTCCAAAGCCTACTAGTTAAAAGTGGCGAACTTTTGAAAATTCTGTATTTCGAAGGGGATTATAACAAAATATCAAGTGTGCTATATTTTTGGAAAGGTAATTTTAAATTCTTTTCAGTTAATTAAAAATATAGAGGATGTCCCAAATAAAAAATATTTTTTTCTGTTGATAACTCTTAAATTATTAATTTTAAAAAAATTATACTTAAACCATTAAATTCTACGTAAAAAGGTGCTTTGGAAATGTTTTCATAGAAATATAAAATTTTCCATAGCAAAAAAGTTACAGCGATTTGTTAAAAATGCACATTTTTGAAAAACACCCCGTAACTCCTAAACGGTAACAGATATTGATGTGCGGTTTTCACCATCATGTTTTTGATGAAAATTGAGCTGCAGACACCGATATTAGTTTTCGTCTATCTCCTATAGAAAAGGGTGTTTCCATTTAAAAGCGTCTAATTTGACCCACCCTGTACAGTTACCGCGCTAAATTCAAAATAAATTCCTTTTAGATAAATAGTTAGATAAATAGTAAATAAGTTGTAAATAGTTCTTTAAGTAGTTTTATCGTTATTGTTTTGTTACTTAGTGTAAAATAAATTGTGTTTAAATAAATTAGACTTTCTATCCACACGGAACCGACGAAAAACGTAACACTATCTTGCCATTCTATTCAAAATATAATTTTCTATCGAATAAGGTATAAAAAAGTATATAAAATTACCGAGGGTACCATTTAATAATCAAAAGTTGTAGTCATTCCGGTGAAACAGAAATTCATCATCATCATCATCATTCCCAGCCCATTCAACCATTTCCAATTATGGTGTGGCCTCCTCACATGTTTAGATACTCTCTTTGTAGTTGGGCCCATTGTTGTCTATTGTTGGCTATGCCGGCCCAAGTTATCCCTGCTAATTTCCTAATACCATGGTCCCATCTCAGGTTTGGTCTTCCTCTAGTTCACTAAACTAACTGAATACGTCAATCAGTCCCAATTTTTGTCATATACTAAATTTCGTTTTTTATCTGAAATAATAAAATAGTTACAGGGGTTAGCTACTTTCGAAAAACACCCGGTATATGGCTGCAAATAAAAGATAAACAATAAAAAACCACAGATTCTGAATAAAACAAACAAGCAAGTTTAAAACTGTCTGAATATTTGACGTCGTATATCCTAAAACTTTTCCGCCTGTGGTCGGAATGTGGTCAATTCCCCAATGCTTACATTTCACCAGAGATCACTAAAGAAATAGACGAGGATTGACGTGGGGCCCCTAGTCGATCCCTTCTCGATAATAAATCAATTTAAATGTTTCAGAAACTTTAGTCGTTGACCTATATTTTACTATTCTGATGTATCCCTTCGTAAATGTTAGCGTACGAATTCAAATATATGCGATGTTCGATCAATAACTGCATATTATGCACTGATCGATACATCAAAAACGGACAGCTTAAATTTTTGATGCCGATTTTGATGATTTTTTAAGCAATTTTTTGCTAAATTATTGGACTCTTTAGGATTTTTTCAAGTAAAAAATTAAGTCCCCAACTATCTATTTACATTCAGATGCAAAAAAAGCAATGTAGAAATTTTTGGTCAAATTTAAAGTGTTATATCTTTGTTATTTTGAGCCGTATTTTCATATGAATTTTTTAGCAAGTCTTATTATATTAACTTTAATTCGTAAACTCAGCTTTTTACAAACTTTAGTATTTGGCATATTAATCATTATTTATACTATATTAAGTTATAAAAAAAATATTTTACTAACTTTTTTTTCATTATTAGTCATTATTTGACCTCAGCAATAATTTCCCAAGTTTATGCGTATAGGTTAAAAATCACCCTGTATTTATAATATAAATAATTCATTATTTTTCTTAAAAAAATATATAAAACTGTACACATACAAGCATTTATTAATTTTTATTACGCAACCTGCAGCACGATAGACCCTGCAGCGGACAGCGATTGGCGGAGAGCGTTAAATTGGATGCGACCAATTTTTGCGTTAAATTAATTCTGCTTTTGAAAGCTTTTATTTAGCGAATAAAACCGATGGAAAGCTCCGATGACGCCGAGTGTTCGAATCCGATTAAAAATATGCATACAATTGGTATCGAGTGATTCAGTGGGAAAAAAATAAAATCGAAATAAAATTTTCCTTCATTGTTCAGACGGCCAATGATAACATCTGTTGAAATATTTGAATAAAAATATTAAGGAAAGAGTATGTCAACAAACTTGGGGAATCAATAATTATAATAAATAATTTTTCGAAGAAAAGATATTATAGCTTATATCACTAAAAAGCTTAAAAAATGGCGCTTTTCATGAAGTCATTGCCAACTATGGTTTCCATTTAAAAAAACATATGTTTGTGTCATATGTCAAAAATGACAGGCTTTAGAAAAAAACGGAGGAGACAGTCTCATTAAGGATGTGATTATCTACAACTTTTATCTGAAAACTTTTTGTCTAAAATAGCTTATAATGGAATTAGGGACAATTTTTAAAATAGCCGAAATTTGTTTTTTTCGAAATATCTAGTAAGCCATGAACTTTTTCAAAAATCTGAAAGGCGCATATTTATGACCCCACAAAACTGCAATTCTTTCCCCATTTAACCGACTCTCTATCTCCAGTAGTTTCTGAGATACCCATAGATAACATCGTAGGAAACTCACCCTGTATGTATCAAAAATGTGACGAAACTGTTTCGCAATGTTTCTCAGCAGAGATGTTCTTTCGATTTTGTGTCTAAAAATGTTACTTGGGTAAATTCGGGTTTATCAGTGTCGTTCAAATTATATTTAAAAAGTGTAAAAATACAACCTTATCAAATAATAGAGAAATTACGAAATAAAATAATAAAGACACATATTTTCAACGGCGTATCTTTTGAGGTTTATGCTTATTTCCATAGAAAAATATAGAGAAACATTAAATTTAATTCTCCGAACTAAATGAACAAAATAAAACAACTGACTGTTAGTTCTTTTTTATTAAATTAATATCTCCTGTTCTCGCTTTCGTGTTTTCTCGTCTGCAAACCAGCCTCACCCGTTTACAAACACAATAAAGAGAAATATTTACTGTTGTATTATTAAATTCGCGAAACGTGTGGCTGAAACGTTTAGAACTGCGACAATATTTATCTCTTTTTTGATTTCCCGTTCGTTCCAAAAGTTTTGTACAAATCGCTTTGTGCTTTATTTTACGTTCAAATTTTATATTTACAATACAATGTACACGTTTATTTTATTTTATTTCGTGTTTTGATTGGAGAAAAACGTTTATTGATACTACGTGTATTGATGTTTATTTTAAAATATTTTAAATTTTCCGACAAGAATTAATTTTATGTTTTTGTTTCAGTGATTGGATGACAGCTATAAGTAATACGGTAAGTAGATAGTATTAGTACTGTAACGTTTTTAGTTCGTTAAGCCGGGTCCACATATGTAGCACTCTATTGTATCAGGATCATGTATCACGTATCAAGAGCTTGTATCGTAAGTATGGACGTTTATTTGGGCTGTGTCGACTGAATATGCATATCGTGCCAAAGTAAGCGTCCATACTTATAAAATTCATACGTACCAGCGTACAAGCGTGCGTATCATTGTATATGGACGGTACAACAAATCACCTTGTATCGTCGTATCATGTTCATCAATTCTTCTCAGCGAACCCTCAAAGCCCCCTTTGATGATCGGAGAAAAACCGCCTCAAGACGGGTCACGGCGTATCAAGTCAATTGTATCGTTATACTGTATCAAAAACACGTCCAAATGACAGATCGTGGATACGTGTATCCGATACGCAGTGTTAAGATACGCGCCAAAAATTCGATTGGCATGTATCAGATACGGTATCACAAAGGTGTACCATATGATCGCGTTAATTCGGCGTCCAAACTAGCGATCATGAAACATGTTGGTGCAACGCGACGGAGATATGATACACGAAGATGCTACATATGTGAACCCGGCTTTACATGTCTTTTATATATGTATGATATATAATGTCTGGCGTATCGTCATCGTATTCCGTATCGCTCAGGCCTGATAATTTATTTGACACGCTTGGCGTAATTTTTACGTTCTCTAGTCGACAACCCTGTTATCGTTTCACTGCTCTGTGGATCAATGGTTTCACAAGGTTTCGCTCTCCGCGATATAACCTCATCTTTGGTTTGCCAGCTGTCGCCATCAGCAACCCGGCTTAGAGAAATGGTAATTATTTAAAGGCTGTACTTAAACTGCCGTTAAACGGTAGCTTACTAAAATGCCGTTAATAGGTATGACGTCGTTGATGTGACGTACTTGACGGCTTTATGAAATATAGGAATTTTATAAGGACTAACCAACGCTATCCACCCCACCAAATAACCAACTTAACCAACGCAACTAACCTCGACACTGATAAAAAAAATTAAAAAACAAATATAAATTAGTAAAAACCAACCAACTCCACCAAATAACCAACTAACCAATGAATTAACACCCTCCAAATAACCACGCTAACCAACCCGCCTAATAACTAAACCAATCCAACCAAAAAGAGTGAAACCAATGCAATAAGATCACGCTATAAGCAAAAAAAATATAAAAAAGTCTTGGTCGGCGTGAGATTTGAACCCCGGCCCATTCGCTCACGAAGCGATAGTCTCAGCCACGGAGCCACAGGGACTCTTGCAAAATGCTTATGGCTAGGCATTACTTTCCGCCGACATGAACGACCTCACAATATCTATTAACGGCATTTTAGTAGGCTACCGTTTAACGGCTGTTAAGTACATCGTTATTTAAATCTGGCTGAATAATCTGAATCGGCTGCTATTTCGAAGCAACAGGTAAAGATGAGATATTATCTTTTTAGATTCGATATTATTACTGAGTATTTTTAGGGTAGAGTTTTGGATTGGCTCAACTCAACTCGTATTTGGTATTTGCTGGCACGTTGGTGTTCTTTTGCTGTTGTCCTCCAGAATGTTGAATGGAAAAAAGGACAATTGTCTTTCTCTATTATAGAGCCCTCGGAAGTATTTCGAGGTAGGTTTATTGTGTTTATTACACCTTGATAGGTTTTAAACACGAGTTTCATATTTTTAGGGTCCAAGGCACGGGTAGTGTTCCAAGGTACGGACAGTATCCTATGGACAGGTGTCCTATGGACGGATATTCTATGTAGGGGTGTAGTTCCCATGTACGGATGATTTGTCCTATGTTTGGATTGCCCCAGTGTGGGTGTAGCGTAAGCCCCATGCTGCTTTGCTCCTATTTTTAAGCCTAGTCAATAGTTACGGCTATATTGGTTCTTGGTGTCCTCGTTCTGACCCCTTTCATTGTATTGACCCACGGTGAAGCCGAGAGGGAGTGCAGAGATACAAGCCCAACTCATGCTGTACTGTTTGAAGCAGGATTGTCTAAAGAACAAGCAGCTATGTTTAATTTTAAGTTCAGATTTTACGTTTTACATTTTCAGTCTTGAATAATATCGTACAGACTTTACGTCTAGTGGTTAACCTTTTTATGTCGGTTTAGTATTTAAAATATGATTTAGATCTTAGGTTTCATTACGAACATATCTTGTAATAGTATTACTTTCTGTATATATCTATTGCGTGATTTCAACAGATGAATAACCAAACATCGATTCTAGAATCTACGACTTGCAACATCTCAAATTTAACATCGTATAAAATATAACAATTCAAATAAAGTAATGCTCCCGTTTATATATTTTCTATAGCTTTATCTATATTGTAATTTTCGATAGCCTTTTTCATTGAACATATATTTAGTACTATTTTTAACATAACTTTTGTCGACATTACAACCACTATAATGATTAAAATTTTACAATGTTATTTACCATCGGAGTCCATCGTGAATAAATATAGTCATTAGTTTTAAGTAATATACAGGCTGTGTTTTCTACCTCTGTTCATGCCTGGCGCCCAATATTTATATTTTTTGGTTTATTATTGTTAGTTAGTTTTTTCTCCACGACGTATCCACGACTGCTCTACCGATGAAAAGCTGCCCTTCGCAGTGGTAATGTTTAAAAAACGTTATAGTACAGTCGAATAATAACCAGCCTAGTGTGCTACATAACTGTATTTGGGAGGTCATAGGTTTTGAAAAAATGAAATTATAAATCCAAATCTCTATAAAAAATATCGTTGATGATGGTATATCGGCAACAAAACGTCACATTGAAAATTCCCACGACCTTACAGATCTATTGTGAGCCCCTTTCTTGAGTTATAATTGATCATACAGTCCCAGGGCTTTGACAAAAGCTAGTATCTAAGACGGTTTTACAAATAGAAGTTTTTCATCTCCAATATCAGTCGTACCAAAGTTTATGGCACGAATGGTTGTCGTCTCGGCGCACTCAGTAATGAGGTGTTCTGGTGTTTCTCCATTCTCCCCACAGACTCTGCATTCTTTCATTTTTCTTAGCTTCAATCTACTGAGGTGTTCATTGAGGAGACAGGGCCCTGTCAAAAACCCCGTGACAATCCGAAGATTGTTCTTACTTAAATCAAAGAAAATCTCTGATTTTTCTCGGTCGTAAGTGCTGAGATAAAAATACTACTTAAAATAATTCAACACAGAATATTCAAAAAATGTGATATGATTTAGACGATGGACAATTTGGATTTTGAGAAGGAATGGGGACCAGGGAAGCAATGTTTGGCCTGTCTGTTCTCTTACAGAAATGTAGAGATCAACAAAAAGACGTATGCATTTGTTTCATCGACTACGAACTACGAATAGGCCTTTGATAAAGTAGAACACACTGTGCTGTTTAACATCTTGCAAGAAAAAGGCCTGGATAAGAACGACATCCAATTCTTAAAAAACTGCATTGGAAGCAGGCAACATACATAAGTTAGGGCAAGACGAAACAAAATAAATACCAATACAACGAGTATGGAGTTCGCCAGGGATGGGCGTTGTCTCCCTTATTATTTAGTATATATTCGGGATATATAATATTCGATAAGGCCCTACAAGATAAAGGCATTGGCATACAAATAAATGGCGTCCCAATTAATAACCTTAGGTATGCAGACGACACACACACTGCGATTATCGCTAAAGACACTGAGGCTCTTCAAGAACTTCTAGACGACATAATTCAGGAAGGAGATCCATTGGGCCTTAAAATAAACACGGCAAAAACCAAGATAATGGTCGTTATGTATGAGAAATATTCCACCACCCAACATACGAGTATACGGACAATGCGTAGAAACGGTCAATAAGTTTAAATATCTGGGATCCTGGCTAACATCGGACCTTGACCCCGACTTAGAGGTTACATCGCGTTTAGAACAAAAGCTATAATGTATACTCAATTTTCTTATAAGGCTGTGAAATCTAGACACTTAAAGTGAACACCATGAGACGATTGGAAGTTTTTAAAATGGGGATCTACAGAAGATTCTTAAAAATACCCTGGACAGATCATGTACGCAATGAAGAGGTTCTTGGGAGGCTTAGCAGGGAAAGGGAATTACTGACAAGTATAAAAAAAAACGAAAGACAGCATACCTGGGCTATGTCATGCGGAATAGTAGAGCAAAGCTTCTGAAGTTAATCATCGAAGGAAAGGTAGAAGGCAGAAGAAGACTTGGGAGACGCATGCATTCTTGGTTAAAAAACATACGAGATTGGACTGGACTGAACTCACACGAACTGTTTCGAGCTGCATAGGACAGACAATGTTTTGCCGCGATTGTTGCCAAACTTCATTAGAAGATGGTACTATAAGAAGAAAAAATCATTTTAAACCATTAAGGAAATTTCTTTGAGTATTGTAGCATTTTTTATTCCCTTTAATAAAATTGAATTTAAAAATCTATTTTTATTTAAATTTCTTAGTATTGGCGCCATCTATTTGCTAGATGCCAAAGATACCAAACTCCATTTGTTACAGCTCACTTGTCTCGATATTTAATTTTTATTAGCGCATCTATTCGCTAAATGTCAAACTTCATTTATTACAGTTCACTTGTCTTGTTTATTAGCGCCATCTATTCGCTATATGCCAGGCTTCCTTAATTGCATTCACTTCCGTCCGAATCTCACTTCGCTGTGGATTGCGATTTTCTGTTCTAATGATTTTGATCATATGATATCACTTTTTCTCTCTCATTTTGCTCTGTGGTGAAAAGTTTTAGCTTCGGTTCTGAAACTGAGAAGAAGGTCTTTTTTTCTGAGAATTTGGATCTGAAGAAGACGCGTGTTTCGGCGTCCGACAAATTTTCCAGTGAAAAGCACTCTGAATCCACTTTTCGATTTCCATTGCATGGGTATCTTGATTGTGATTTGGAAATTTGGTATCTGATTTGGAAATTTGAAAACCTTGTAAAGTATGCAATCCAGA